CTGAGAGGCTAAGAGCACTGGCTGCTCTTGCAGAGGTCCTCAAGTCAATTCCCAGCATCCACATGGTGGCTCACAACCATCTGTAATGAGATATGGTGCCCTCTTCTGGTATGTAGGCATACATGCAAGCAGAACACTGTATAGATAATAAATCTTTTTTAAAAACCAGATTTCTCTCTTTTTTTAAATTACACTTATTTATTTGGAAAGGCTTACATGTGGAAGTCAAAGAACAAACTGTGAGAGCCCATTCTATCCTTCCACCATGTGGACTCCAGGGATTGGACGGACTCAGGTCATAATGCTTGGTTGCAAGCACTTTACCTTTTGAGCTATCTTGTTGGCCCTAAAAACAGATTTCTCTAGTTGGCATTTTGAAATAAACAGCTAACATTATCTCCAACCCCTTTGTGTACTTTCTTTTGCTCTGGAGTCCTCTTGAGAATACTTTTACATTGTATTTATTTATTTATTTACTTACGTGTATGAATGTCTTGCCTGCATGTATGCATGTTTACCACAAGCACGCCTGATGCCTTTGGAAGTCAGAAGAGGGCATCGAATCCCCTAGATGGCTGTGAGCCACCATGTGGGTGCTTGGAATCTGCAAGAGCAGCAAGTGTTCCTATTCACTGAACCATCTCTCCAGCGTTGAGATTTTATTTCTTGGAACTCAGATGAGAGCACCAGGCATTATATTCTCAAAGTGTCTTGATTAACTTTTTGTTGGTCATTCTTGTTTTAATGCAAAACAACAAACTATTATATTTTAAATAATTTTGAATTTTATCTGTTACTGTTTTTTAGTTATAGTCCTTTTTCTTTCTTTTTCGTTTACGTATTATATTTACTTGTGTTAAAGAGAGGACATACACACCATGGCATACATGTGAAGGTCAAAGCTTGGCAGTAACCACCTTTACTAGCTGAACTATCTTGTCATTATGCAAAGAAATGCTTTTTTGGTTGCTGGGGGTTTTTTGATTTGGTTTTGTTTGTTTTATTTTGTTTTTGTTTTTCAAGACAGGGTTTCTTTGTGTAGTCCTGGATGTCCTGGAACTTGCTCTGTAGACCAAACTGACCTCAAACTCAGAGATCTGCCTGCCTCTTCCTCCCAAGTCTAGAATTAAAGGTATGTGTCACCACTACCCAGCCAAGTCTAGAATTAAAGGTATGTGTCACCACTACCCAGCTAAGCTCCTTCTCCTCCTCCTCCTCCTCCTCCTCCTCCTCCTTCTTCTTCTTTCCCCAAGACAGGGTTTCTCTGTGACTTTGGAGGCTGTCCTAGAACTAGCTTTTGTAGGCCAAGCTGGTCTTGAACTCACAAAGATCCTCCTGAGTGCTCGGATTAAAGGTGTGTGCCACCACCACCCAACAAGAAGTGAATTCTTGTTTTGTTGTTTTTAAGCAAGATCTCAAGTAGCCCACGCTAGCCTGCAGGTTGTTATATAGTCAACTTGGCCTTGAACTTTTTTTTAGTGATTTATTTTTACTTTATGTGCATCAGTATTTTGCTGCATGTCTGTCTATGTGAGGGTGTTGGCTCCTCTGGAGCTGGAGTTACAGACAGTAGTAAGATGCCATGTGGGTGCTGGAAATTGACCCTAGATCCTCTAGAAGAGCAGCCAGTGCTTTTAACCACTAAGCCATCTGTCCCACCCTGAGAGATAAATTCTTTTTTATTTATTTGCTGGGCCTGGGTCCTTCCCCATGTGTCCAGGGCCAGAGTGTATCCCTTCACGTGGGATGGGCTCTCAAAGTCCCTTCTTGCACCAGGGAAAAATACTAATCCACTACCAGAGGCTCCCTAGAGTGCAGAGGCCTCCTTATTGACATCCATGTTCAGGGGTCTGGATCAGTCTTGTATTGGCCTCCCAGACAGCATCTGGGGTCGATGTGCTCTCCCTTGTTCAGGCCAACTGTTCCTGTGGGTTTCTCCAACCTGGTACAGACCCCTTCGCTTGTCATTCCTCTCTCTCTTCAACTAAATTCCAGATTTTAGCTTCTTAAGTCATTTTATTCATGTCACAATAATTATAGGGGATCGGGGGAAGAAAAGCCAAATTTGCATATTGAAAATAGTGAGCAGGGTTACATACAGCTGTCTGTAACTCCAGTTCCAGGGCAACTGACACCCTTATACAGATAAACGTGCACACAAAATACCAATGCACATAAATAAAAATTTTTAAAAAGTAAGAAAATAATGATAACACACACATAAAACTGCAGATAATATGTATCGTTAATTCACCTATTTCATCAAAGTCCGGTTTTATTCACTATTTTATCTTATTATATTTTTGCAGTCCATTGCATCCTTTTCAGTTCTTATCCTTGTTTGTATAGATATTTGATACCTTCTGTTGCTTCCTCTGTCAGCTGTTCTTTTAGGAAGCCTACAAAGAAAGTGATTATCAAAGAGCCTTAAACCCAGAACTCAGGAGGCAGGTGTAGCCAGATCTCCATGAGTTCAAGGCCAGCCCGGTCTACATAGTAAGTTCCAGGACAGCCAGAGCTATATAGTGAGATCTTGTCTCTGCGCCCCGACCCAAAAAAAAAAGGAAAAAAGAAAGAAAGAAAAGGACGGGTTGTTCAATTGGGTTTACAGATCCAGAGGGTTAGAGTCCATGAGTCCATGGTGGTGGAGCAAAGGCGTAGAGTCAGGAGCTGCTGAGAGCTTACATCTCAAACAGCAAGCAAGAGGCAGATCGCTCACCAGGAATGTTAATAAGTCTTTTGAAACCTGAAATCCCCAGTGGCACACCTCCTCCAACAAGACCACACCTAATCCATCCCAAAACTTCCACCAACTGGGAACCAAATGTTCAAACATATGAGCCTATGGGGGCCGTTCTCATTCAAACTACCACAGGGCCTTTTAAATATCCTTTATGGACACACCAGACCTCATAAGAATCTCATGATGTGATCACACATCATGTGATGTGGTATAGCAGAAACAGACAGCAGGTCCTCAGGTTCTGGGGGCCACGGTTCTTCAATCCTGGCCCTTTCCCCATACACTTCTCACACCACCTCTGCTACTTGACAGCCCTTCTGGCTCAATGGGGCTGCCACTGCTGGGATCTCCTGTTTAGCCACAGAGATAACTTAGCTTCTGAGGGCTTTGTGTTTACTTTCACATTAAAATGACAGCCTGAGTAGCCACAACAGGAGCCTCGTGGCTTGGTCCCTTTCAGGAAGTTTTTGACAGCCCAGGTCTTGTGTGAACACATGGGTGGAGACTGTCTCCAAGGTAATGAGCTATTCAAACCATGGGATTGGATTGTTAGCAGTTCATATTTTTTACTTTTCTGTATCTCCATTCTTTCCCTAGAATAACCATGTGCTGCTTTATAATAATAAAATGAAAATTTTCAAGAGCTAGATGTGTAGCTCAGTAATAGAATATTTACCGTACATGCATGACATCCTGAGTTCAATCCCAGCACCACAAAAAAAAAAAAATCTGAAGAGCATGTTCAGGAATAGAGAGATGACTCAGAGGTTAAGATCATCCTCTGCTCTGTCAGAGGAAGTAAGTTTGGTTCCCAGCACCCACACCACACAGCTGGCAGCTACCTGTAACTCGAGCTCAAGGGGGGTCTGAAGACTCTAGCATCCATGGGTGCCTGCACATGCTCCCACACACACACACACACACACACACACACACACACACACGAGAAAAATAACATGTTTTGCTAGTTTTTTTTTTGAGACAAGGTTTCTCTGTGTAGCCCTGGCTGTACTGGAACTTGCTGTGTAGACCGGGTTGGGCTTGAATTCAGAGATCCACCTGCCTCTGCCTCTTGACTACTGAGATTAAAGGTGTGGGCCACTAAGCCTAGCTATGAAAATCTTTTTAAAGGAGTAAATTCCAAAGTAGGTTTTTTTGCTTTTGGTTTGTTTTTTTATTTGTTTGTTTCATTTTGGTTTTGGGAGACGGGGTTTCTCTGTGTAGCTTTGTAGACCAGGCTGGCCTCGAATTCACAGAATCCACCTGTCTCTGCTTCCCAAGTACTGGGATTAAAGGGGTATGCCACCACCACACCGCTAAAGTAGTTTTTTTTTTTAATAAGTCATTTTTGAAATTTATTTTAACTTTATGTGTATGTGTGCTTTGCCTACATGTATGTCTGTGTACCACATACAAGCAGTACCCATAGAACCCAGAAGAAAACATAGGCTTCCCTGGAACTGGAGTTACAAACAGTTGTGAATTGGGAATTGAACCCAGGTTCTCTGGAACAGCAACCAGTGCTCTTAACCACTGAGCCAACTCTCCAGCCAGGCAAAATCAAAGGTTTTTTTTGTTTTGTTTTTTTGTTTTTTTTTTAATTACATTGGATAGTTACAAAGACTCTTCTGTACTCTGTCCCTTTTAGCAACTATGACTCCAAAGGGATTTCCCTCCCAAAAGCCGCCATTAAGGAAAGTCAACTCCAGAAGTCAAAAAGAATAAGGTCTCAGCCCCACCGCCTTCAGGAGTCCAAGAATAGCCAGCAATGATTCTGGGCCTTTGAGTCACGACTGCAGCCATCAAGAACCGAATCCCTACTCAAGCAGAGGGCCAAGTTAGCCGCCTGGGAGGCCAACCACTAGGAGCTGCTCTGCTCTGTGTATGGGGCTGACAGCTCAGTGCTGTGGGTGCAGATGAAGGAGAGATTGGAATGTCCTATGGCTTCAAGGTTCTGATAAGAGTCTAGGAGTTTTGACTAGAGAGTTGGGGCTGAACAGCAAGCCTCAGGGACTGAGAGAAGAGAGGGCAGACCCACATCCAAGACCCTCTTAAGCTGGCAAAGAAAGCCCTCTGGCAGCCCACAGATCCCCTCGGGCAAGGGCATTATCATCCAGCCCACCTAATGAATATGCTCCAAGATGGCAGGTCAAACCCGCCAGCTCAGCAGAGACAGACAGGTATCTTGGTCAGGTATCCCCACAAATGCCTCCCACTTGCTTCTAGAGGGGCTTATCTGCTCTCTCTGTATTCACAGGTGTATTCCTGCCCCCATCCCCAGCAGCAGCCGTAGCAGCAGCCGCCGCCGCCGCAACAAAGGAGCCAGGCGTAGAAGACATGGGAATGGTGGCCCTGACCCCTCTGGCTGACATGCTGAACAGCTCACAGCTCAGTTCTGCAGCAGGCTCCCTTATGAACCCCCTGGTGTCCCCTCTCAACTCACTGCTATCTGGCCAAATGCCCTTGTCACAGAACAGTCAGTTTGCCAGTCTTGTGCCATGCTCCCTCAGCAGCCACCTGGCCAGTCCCATTGCAGTTTCCCCAGGGGCCACCTTGGCCAGCTCTCTGGGATTACCCACAACTGGACCCCTGAGCAGTCACTTGGCTAGTCCCATTACTGTACCCCCTGGGTCCACTCTGGCCAGCTCACTGGGCCTGACCTCAACTGGCTCCCTGACAACAAGCAGCCGGCTGGCAGGCCCAGTAGCTGTATCTCAGAGCAGCCCCCTCATGGCTCCCCTGGCAGGCACAGTGGCAGTCTCTCTGAGCAGCCCCCTGCTCTCCTCCACGGCTACCCCTCTAGGTGTTTCTCAGAACATACTGCCCAGCCCCATAAGCAACCTAGGGTTGTCAGAGGCCCCAAGGGTGCGGTTGGCAGAGCCACCTCGAGGAAACCTCTCAGGAGCCTCAACAGGTGCAGGGCCAATCGCCACCTCAAAAGGTAATTGGTACAGGGTGGGGCAGCATGGCATCCTGGGTAGGCCGATTCCTGCTCCCATCCTGCCTCACTCTAACCCCTCCTCTCCTTTCCACTCCTTCATATCACCAGTCACCGGTGAGCACCCCCAGCCGACCCAGGACTCAGAGCCCCTCAACATGTTTGTGGGTGCACCCCTTCAGACCTCCACTCCCATGGCCACATCCAGTCCCACAACAAATTTTTATGCTACCTCAGATACTCGGATCCAGACCGGTGTTCTCCAGGGACAAATGACCCTCACTTCTGTCCCAAACTCCCCAACAGCCTCTTCTGCTTGCACAGTCTCCAACTCCACCCCGACACCTGCCCCCCAAAGTGCTGGAAACTATTCCCCTTCAAAAAACTCCCACTCCAACTCCACCACCAGGGTGCACCAATCCCCTACCCGGCCTGTGCCCACCCCACATTCTCCTCCACGCAACCCCCAGTCCCCGCCCCGCACCTCATCCTCTCCGGCTTCAGTCAATGAAACCCGGGGTTCACGCACCATGGAACAGTCCCGGAAGAGTGTCCTGGAGATGGAGCGGAAAATGGCCCACCGCAAGGCTAACAAGTTCCCTGACAGTTCCCGAGGTCAGTAACACCACAGCAGCTCAACACGAGTCTAGTGCCGACTCCCTACCATACGCCTGGACTGCTAGCCACGACCCTACTGCTCCCTTCGCTTATTGCTCAGCTTAGACTTTCTGTCATCTCCAGACTCAAAGCAACTAGCCTGGGAGAGGCTAGTCGGGGAGATAGCTTTCCAGTTAGACCGAAGAATCCTGTCCAGCATCTTCCCAGAGCGTGTGCGTCTCTATGGCTTCACTGTCTCCAACATTCCAGAGAAGATCATCCAGGTGTGTGGCTATCCATCTCCTACACATTGCCAGAGGGGCCTTAAAGACGTGGATGTGAGCTCAGTATTGAGGGGCAGGGTGTTTAAGGGGACTTTGAAAATGGAGGGAGCTCAGGGCTCAGTGCAAGCAGCTGGCAAGGGTCCAGAGCATCTGGTCATAGGAACCCATGAGGAAAGGACGGGGGAGTTTGCTCAAATGGGCAAGTGGCATTCCTCTTCTGCCTCCAAAATGGCCTTTGAATAGGCAGCTCTAACCCTAGGGGTTGAGCCAGCAACCTAAAGAATTCTATGGCCTTCCCCTTCAGCATCCCCAAAGGTCACCGGGGACCATGGGGAACTCTATCCTAGGTGACATTGTTGCCAGAAGGCCTGATCCTCAGATATGGTCACAAAGCCTCCTTCCGTTGACAAAAGGGAGTTGGATGTTTATTTATTTATTTTAAAGATTGATTTATTATATATACAACATTGTGCTTCCATGTATATCTGCACACCAGAAGAGGGCACCAGATCTCATAACGGATGGTTGTGAGCTACCATGTGGTTGCTGGGAATTGAACTCAGGACTTCTGGAATAGCAGCTGGTGCTCTTAACTTCCAAGCCATCTCTCCAGCCCGGGAGTTGGATGTTGAAAAAAACAAGAAACTAAGAAACAAAAAACTGGAGTGTGTCACTGCACCCCTATGACTTAAAGGTGTGGATGGCACTGGCAAGGGGTAAGGACTGGGGATAAGAGTCTGCACTTGGCTGGATACTCTGGAGAAGTTTGTTCAGAATTGTGCCGTGTGGGACAACAATGGCAGGTTCCCCTCCCTGTATATAGACTGGGCTTCTCTTGGGGAAAATGGCTTCCCTGTGTTGCCAATTCTAGTTCCCTTGCCATTTTTGTGTGCCAATTGTACCCACCTGCCATCTGGGTAGAAATGGCTTTTGATTGCACAGGCTGATTCTGAGTGTGCCTTTTCCTTGGATAAAGTGTCCTTTGATTTAGATGCTTTGTTTTTTTGTTTGTTTGGTTTTTGTTTTGTTTTGGCTTTTTGAAACAGGGTCTTACTGTGTAACACTGAATGGACTGGAAATTACTGTGTAGCTCTGTAGGAAGGTTAGCCTTGAATTCACAGAGCTCTGTCTGCCTCTGCCTCCCAAGTGCTGGGATTAAAGGTGTGTACTGCCTTACCTGGTTTGGATGCTTAATTTTAATGTGTTCAGAACTGTCAGTCTTTGCTCATGTTGTCTCAATTAAGAAATCTTCCCCTAGCAGGGTGGTGGTGGCACATGGCTTTAACCCCAGCACCCAGGAGGCAGTTAGGTGGATCTCTGTGAGTTCGAGGCCAGCCTGGTCTATAGAGCTAGTTCCAGGAAAGCCAGGACTAACCAGAGAAACCCTGTCTCAGAAATAAAGAAAAAGAAAAAAAAATCTTTCCCTAGCAGAAATTCCGGAAAATATTTTGTATTCTATAGTCAGTATTTTCTCCTAAGGGTTTAAAGTTTGAGTTTTTAAAAATCTTAGTTTGGTTTTTCTTTTATTATGTATATGCATGTATGGGGCAGGGGTGACTGGTGTGGGTGCTGAAAACAAAACTCAGGTCCTCTGGAAGAGCAGCCAGTGTTCTTAGCTGCCAAACCATCTCTCCAGCCCTTAAGTTTGTCTCTCTCTCTCGTGTGTGTGTGTGTGTGTGTGTGTGTGTGTGTGTGTGTGTCTTTTTTGAATCTCTGGTTCTTCCATAAGTGATCATGGTAGAATTATAAGGTAGGACACATCCTCTCCCAAACATGAAAACCCCTGACTAATTCCAAAGACCACCAAGACACAGAGTGCCCATTGCATTAGGACGACTCCAGGGTTAGAAGGGCAGGCCCTAGGATTGAAGAATGAGAGAAAAATGATGAGGAAACAGAGGGCTGTGTGGACATGAGGGCAACAGAAAATAAGCACATTTTTTGAGGAGCACAGCCTATCTATGGAGATGTACCTCACAGAAGTTCACTAATGGGGCAGTCAGTGCAGTTAAAGCTCAGAGCTGCCAGGGCAAGGAGGGATTCCCAGTGCCTACCAGTGTCCTTCTCAGACCAGCATTTATGAAGATTCTCTGGTCTGTCTTGTCCCAGCCTCCTTGTCCATTTATGCTCTAACAGGACAGCAGTGTTCCTGGATGCCAGTGGACAGTCATCAGCCAGAAACTCAACCCAAGAGGGCCCAATGACATAGCAACAGAGACCACAAGCTGCCAAGGGGCAGCTGACATTATAAAGAGGGCCTTGGGATATAGTTCGGGTCAAGGAGTACTTGTACTTGTCTAGTGTTCTATCATGGACTAAAGCCTTGGTTTTTATCCCAGCACCTGAGTCAGGCTCCTCCTTGGTAACTTCTATTATCTTAGCTCTTTCCTTTTCTGCTTGTTTTAGGATCTGTCCATCAAGTTCCAGAAAATCAACCCAAATTTTTTATTTAGTTTATGGGTGAATTAAACAAATAATTTCTAGATCACACATTTTTATTTTACTTTTGGAAACATGGTCTCGTGTAACCCAGGCTGGCCTTGAATTCACTTTATAGGCAAGGATGACCTTAGAAAACTTCTGAGATACCTGCCTCTGCCTCCAAGTCCTGGAATTAGAGGTGTGTTCCACCACGTCTGGTTTTATGAGATGCTGGACTTATCATAGCAAGCTTGTCCTTCTACCCGGGAGCCTCTATCATCTCTTTCAGACTCGGTAGCTCATCTTACTTCTAGCAGCAGTGACCCAGACTCTCTCCTTCCTCCTGGGAACAACACAATTGAAACCCACTTGCAGAAAAAGTGGCCTCCTGGAGCTAGGCTGACTTTTTTTTTTTTTTTTTTTTTTT